GGCTGTTTCCAAGTTTTAGCTATTACAAACTGTGCTGCTATGAACATGGGTGTGCATATATCACTGTGGTATGATTCTTTTAATTCTTTTGGAAAGATACCCAACAGAGGGATGGCTGGGTCAAATGGAACCTCTAATCCTAGTTCTTTGAGGTGTCTCCATATTGTCTTCCATAGTGGTTGCACCAATCTGCACTCCCACCAACAATGGAGAAGGGTTCCTTTCTCCCCACAACCGCGCCAACATTTGTTGTTGTGTGATTTCTTGATATCAGCCATTCTTTGTGGGATGAGGTGAAATCTCAGAGTTGTTTTCATCTGCCATCTCTCGAATGACCAGAGATGTAGAGCATTTTTTCATATATTTCCTTGCTGCTTTTATTTCTTTGTCTGAGAAATGTCTGTTCATTTCAGATGCCCATTTTTGAATTGGGTCTTTATATTTGGGGGAGCTGGTTGTTTTAAGTTCTTTGTATATTCTAGATAATAGTCCTTTGTCTGAGGAGCAGCTGGTAAAAAGCTTTTCCCACATTGTAGGTTGTCTCTTAGTTCTGTGGATGGTTTCTTTTGCAGTGCAGAAGCTTTTTAATAAGATGAGATCCCAGTTGTTGATTCTTTCTGCTAGTTTCCATGCTACTGAGGATTTGTTCATAAAGTCTTTTCCTGTGCCATTGTCTTCCAGAGTTCTGTCTAACTTATCTTCCAGCAAGTTTAGTGTTTTTGTTTTTATATTTAGATCTTTAATCCCATCCAGTGTGTTCTTAAATCTCATTTGTTATTATTTTTATGTCTCATAGTTCAATTTGGGTCTTTTATTATACACTCTGTATATAAAATGCATTCTTCCCTGTGTTATTTTTATATCTTCTGACATGTTCAACCTTTCATCTTATTTATTAAATAGATGCAATGTAATTTTAATAATTGTTAACACCTTTGTCTAATTCTATTTGTCTTATCTCTGGAACATTTTCTATTGATTGATTTCTCTCCTCCTTATGAGGTGTATGTTTTGTGTCTGATTTTTTTGGTTTGCATGCCCACCATGTGAATCCCCCACCCCGTACTAGGAATTGAACTCAAGACCTTGTGTTTGCCATGCAGGCATGGTGCCCCCAGCCATGTGAATCCTAACCTTATTAAATGTGGGATATTTTTGTATTCTTACAAATACAAAATATTCTTGAACTTTGTTCTAGTAACTTTTAAGTTCATTGTAAATAGATTGATCTCCTTTGGGTCTTGATTTTAAGCTATTTGATAGATCCAGAGTGATGTTAAATGAAAGATTAATGCTTTCCTACTACTTAGGCAAAAAAATTTCTAAGTCCTCTCCTTGATCCCCAAGTTTTGTGGTTCCTGCCTTAGCTGTTGGAAACAAGCTGTGTTCCTAGTGCATGTGAGCTTTGGGGAGTGCTCCTTTTCTTCAGGTGGTGTTTTTCCTGACTTGGTTTCCTCACACACATATAATGATAAGTTCTCAGCTGAATAGGGACCTTTACTTGTCTCTAGAGTTTTCTATCTGTGCAACACTCAATTTCCGTATACTTCCCTGTGCATCCTCGCTGTGTTACCTTCCCTGTACAATACTTCCTGCTTTTTCTCCTCAGCCCAGAAAGATGATAGTACTCTGCCAGAATTCCTCCTTCTTATATTGCAGCCAGAAGGCTTTCTTTCTCCAGATAGTAAACTGTGCTCACCCTTGTTTCTTCAGTTATTCTAGGTAAAAGGGTGAATCTGTGCCAGAAACCACCACCCCAACCTCCTCTTGCTCCCCACTCCTCCTTTTATATTATAATTTAATATAAAAATTTGGGGAGGTTAAGTTTATAATTTAGTTTCTAGTAACAGAATATTCAGATGGAACTGTGGACAAATTTATGGAGTTATTTTCATATCTCAAAGATAGACGATATCACTGTCTCCCAGAGAGGAATGCAATGATTTCTGTGACTTCGTGTATCTTCGAGGAAAAATTAATAGTATATTATATGGGAAAAATGTTTTGAGGGAGGTACAGAAGTTTAAAATAAATACTGCTTGGCAAAAAGGATTGACTGTGGCAGTTAGGTTTTGTCCCTTGGCTCCAAACTCCTATACTCAGTTGTTGGTAAAACAAAATAAAGTAAGACCTAAAATAATAGGTCTCAGTCTATTTCTTTTCTTTTCTTTCTTTTTTTTTTTTTTTTTTTTTTTTTTTTTTTTTGTTTTTTTTTTTTTTTGTTTAAATCAGGGACCAAACTCAGGACCTTGCACTTTCAAGACAGGCAGCAGAACCACTGGGCTAAATCCCTACTCTGTCTCAGCCTGTTTCTACTTTGCCACCTGGCTCCATATTGGGTGCTGCCAACAAGAGGCACTAGAGGGAGCATTCAGTTCTTGAGGAGCAGGGACAGTGCTCCCTGTCTCCCTACTGCTTGCCACCTTATGCTTCCTGTGAGTATACTCTCACCAGCAACACTTCATCCTGGCAGCAGCTTCTCTTAGGGACAGCTGAATCCACTTTGCAGTTTTCTGTTTGAAGAACCTATTTTATTGCACCTATACTTTAATTTTATTTATCTATTTATCATAGAAAATCATGATTATTTTATCATTATTTCTTTAACAACCATATTGCAGCTGAGTGATAAGCCTGTAGTATCACATTAACCTTCCACCTTGCAAGCTACCATGCACAAACAACACATACATTAGAAGTTCTAATCACTTGAAGAATACTAGTTTTCTTCCCCCATCCTAACACAACTTCAAAAATTCCTTTCAAGTATAAACATAAATACTTTATCCTCACCCCCTTGGCCACTGCCCTTAGTTAATCTTTACACATTGGTTAATCTTACCTGGGGAGAC